TCAGCTTTAGCGTGTTTATTATCAAATAACAACATAACATTTTTACATGATCAGCTTTAGCGTGTTTATTATCAAATAACAACATAATGTTTCAACATGATCAGCTTCAGTGTGTTTATTACCAAATAACAACATAATGTTTCAACATGATCAGATTTAGTGTGTTTATTACCAACTAACAACATAATGTTTCAACATGATCAGCTTTAGCGTGTTTATTATCAAATAACAACATAACATTTTTACATGATCAGATTCAGTGTGTTTATTACCAAGTAACAACATAACATTTCTACATGACCAGATTTAGTGTTTATTACCAAATAACAACATAATGTTAACATGATCAGCTTTAGTGTGTTTATTACCAACTAACAACATAATGTTTCAACATGATCAGCTTTAGCGTGTTTATTATCAAATAACAACATAACATTTTTACATGATCAGCTTTAGCGTGTTTATTATCAAATAACAACATAACATTTTTACATGATCAGCTTTAGTGTGTTTATTACCAACTAACAACATAATGTTTCAACATGATCAGCTTTAGTGTGTTTATTACCAAATAACAACATAACATTTCTACATGATCAGCTTTAGTGTGTTTATTACCAAATAACAACATAACATTTCTACATGATCAGATTTAGTGTGTTTATTACCAACTAACAACATAATGTTTCAACATGATCAGCTTTAGTGTTTATTACCAAATAACAACATAACATTTCTACATGATCAGATTTAGTGTTTATTACCAACTAACAACATAATGTTTCAACATGATCAGCTTTAGTGTGTTTATTATCAAATAACAACATAACATTTCTACATGATCAGATTTAGTGTGTTTATTACCTAAGAACCATGCAATAATGTTTATACATGAATCGGATTTAGTGTGTTTAGTACGTAATAACAACATAATCATAATGGGAGAGCTCGCCAAATCACTAAATAGTTGGTACCGAGATCTCCAAAGCAAGGCAGCCTACAACAGCTGACAAAGGACTTGATGCCACTATGAAGTCGCCAGAATAGAATCATTGCAGTCAACACCAGCCCATCTGGCAGAACCAAGCCTCCAAGCTGTACAGCAGCAGGAGTCCGTACCACCGCTGATGCCACACACATAGGTGAAAACTGAAGAAAAGCCAGTGATTTGTCCCATTGCAAAGTGTAGCACAACCAAGAGGAGAAGACAACAGATGTGTTTCCATCTTAATTAGAATCACTATGTGCCCAAGAAGAGATTTCCAGCACTAAGTGGGTCTCAAGGGAACTCCAAGTTCCGGGAAGATAAAGGCAAGGAAGGTTCGAGCAAGACTTCAATGTTGGCAACAAAAACTACGGCAGTCGCAACAGAGATGAACCAGGCAGATGTCATCAACAAGCAAAAGCCTCAACAACTGGACCTGTTAAACACTCGTGAAACCATATCCCGGCACAGTCTTCGAGGCACCACGGGACTTCTACCAGGCAGATGTCATCAACAAGCAAAAGCCTCAACAATTGGACCTGTTAAACACTCGTGAAGAACCTATGCCGGCACAGTCTCCGAGGCACCACGGGACCTCTACCAGGCAGATGTCATCAACAAGCAAAAGCCTCAACAATTGGACCTGTTAAACACTCGTGAAGACCTCATCCCAGCACAGTCTCCGAGGCACCACGGGACTTCTACAATCTGGAAGAAGAACAGCTAAAGCAAAGGGGCCACTACTCTGTCAAGATACAAATAGGGGATCTGGTGCCTGCAGGAGAGGCTCACTGAAGCCAAGTAGAATGTGGTGAGGGCTTAAACAGAATGCATGTCTATGGCTGTCAATCAAAATATGACATCAAAAGTTGAAGCTCTGTTGGTGAGGTTAAGGTGAGCAGAATAAAACTTTGAATGCTTTCTGGAGTGAGTGTATATTTTGTATATATTCAATTTAGCATGATTTACTTTGTATATTTTACATTTTGTTTTTAATTTGGAGTGCCTTTTGCTTTATTTCTATAATACAAGCATGCAACATGGCAGAGATTTAAGTTTTTTTTGTATATAATATCTTTAATTTCAGGTATAAAGTTTGCCTGATTACCATGATATCACTTGTTGTGAACACAAGAGTGTGTGAGCAAAAGATGGGTAGTTTTATTTAACTCTTTTCAGCATGGGCCTTTAAATTTTCAATTACTAACACAGGGTGGAATGGGGTCATAGTGACCCCACACTGGCATTCTAGGGTTAAGTGTTTACTACCCAATAACAACATAATATTTGTACAGTGCAGAGTTAAACATAGAAGATTTTACTTTCTACTTCGAAACAGTTTTATTTTTAATCACAAAAAAGAAAAAAGAAAAAAAATTGGACCACTACATTGAAAATAAAATAATCAAAGAAACAAGAAGGCTTGAACAAAAATATAACATTTATAAAAATTTAAAAAGAAGATGATCATGCACATCTGTAACCTACCATATCATCGTTGCTTTCGTCCGATGAACAGCTATCAAAAATGTTCTCCAAGTCTCGTTCGGTTACTTGGAGGTGCTCCACCTTCGTGAAACTTGATCCTGGAGGGCGTGGCGTTGGTGGCGATGTTACAGATGACAATTCACTCACTGAATTACTTTGAGATTGTTCAGGGATGGTGGTTTCAGGTGCTGCTGCTTGTACCACGGTTTCTTTTGGCTTTTCATCCTCCTAAGTATAAATAATAAAATAAAATAAATAAATAATAAAAACTACATATAACTAATCTTAGATGCAGATACCAATCGTTCAACAAGAAACAGAAATTTGTAACAAAGAGCTATCGAGTGATACAGAAAAGTGAAGACCGAGATATTTCCTGTTGAAATTAAGAAACTAATACTTATATAATACACTTTGACTGTATATTCAGAAGCTTAAAAGTATTTTAAAACAAAGTTATGTTATTAAGCCCACTAAAAATTTGACAACTGACGATATTTCCACAATTACTAACCTTACATACAATATCCATTTTATTTCTGAATGTTGACCCACTGGTAGCAGGGTTTACTTTGTATTCTTCAAACTCATCATTAAACTCGTACGGATCCTTTGGTTTGGCAAGCAAAGGCTCGCGTTCTTCAAGCTGCTTTGGATCTGATCCCCAAAATGGGTACGGACTAAGTGGATCGTTGAGGTTTGCTTGCTTGTTGCAGGAATCAGGCCCTATTCTTCTTCTCCTTTTGTGACGTGGAAGGTCCCTGGAAGTTGACGAAATTCATTCTCCTCAATGAACATTGTTATTAAGTCAATTTTAATATATATAAATATAATGCATATGAAATAATAAATGTTATTCTTTATTCTACAGTACCTAAACTTAATACTAGTACAAAAACAATCAGTCCACTATCCTTAAGAAATTTTATTTTATTTGATTAAATGAAAAAGAAAACTTAACTTGGTTTAGTAAAAGGCAATAACACTTTACAAATAAACTATATATATAACATTCTGTAGTTCATAAGCAGTAACATATCAGCTACTTCTTCATAACTTTCACTAGGCTAGAGTCAAACAATGACCACTTTTTTTTTTAGTGGTTACAGTTCACTGCTAATCTCAAGTACCGAGATAAACAGTGAACTTTCTTAGTACACCTGTTTTTTGGTAGTACATAATTACAAGTATAAGATCTCCTTGTTTCATAAAAAACAAGAAAGTTACTGTGGCAATCAAAGTCCTTACTGTAAAAATACAAAACTTCTGAAATAATACTGATAAGTGGATGACACTAACACACTTTCTTAGTACACCTGTTTTTTGGTAGTACATAATTACAAGTATAAGATCTCCTTGTTTCATAAAAAACAAGAAAGTTAGTGTGGCAATCAAAGTCCTTACTGTAAAAATACAAAATTTCTGAAATAATACTGATAAGTGGATGACACTAACACACTGCCACAAGTTTTCATTGCGTCTTAAATGATGAAAGAAACACAATGTCAAAGTACCACCCTTCATCCACTGATTTAAAAGCACATTTCTCTAACCAAGATAACGTAACATAATAATTTAGTTTCTGCCTATAAAACTCTCCTGAATAACAAAACTCTTATATGACCATATTTTTTTTTTTCAGTCGCCAAACTTACACGATATAGTGTATATTGCACTAGGTCACAAGTGGTTATTAAAAAATATTACAAGTGCCACGAATCAGTTTGCAAGTCTTTGATAATGATGGCCGACCATCTCGGTTTACCAAAAAACTCCCCAAGTACTCTAATGTTTAATGCACTAGGTCACAAGTGGTTATTAAAAAATATTACAAGTGCCACGAATCAGTTTGCAAGTCTTTGATAATGATGGCCGACCATCTCGGTTTACCAAAAAACTCCCCAAGTACTCTAATGTTTAATTCATAAGAACAAACTCACGTGAAATCCACCTAATTCATAAAAGAGCTATAACTCACCATGTAATTGAGTGTATGCTATGAAAGTCGTACAAGAGTTTGGTTGGAAACACGTCCTCTTGCTCAATAAGTTCTTCTGTCTTATTTTGTAACACTGGCCTTTTTAATCCTTGGGCAGAAAGTTTGGGCTGAGAGCCCAAAGCCGACTCGTCAACAGCTGACCAGTGATTAACCGCTGCTGTAGGTGGTGAACCCTCAGAAGGCTTGTTGGTGTCTCCTTGGCTTTGGGAAGTATGAAATGGTGATGTGACCTGCTGTTCGGATAATTAACAGTTCAGTATAACCATGTGTATAATTTGAGTTCATTACAGAATCCACAAGACCACATTTTACCCTTACTGGTCATTCAACTTTAATAACAAAATTCAGATTAAATATCGTGAATTTAATAATGCAGCCAACTGAGTACAATGGTTTTGAAATGAAATACCATTGAATCTTGTGTTTATAGGTTTAATTAAGTTCAAACACTACAAGTTAGTTTTTTTTCATTCAGCTAAAGAATCATTCTGCCGTTGTTGTTTTTTATCAAAATGTGACAAGAAAAAAGAAAATACCTGAAAACACGTTATCTTACTTGTTGATTATAATTGGGTGCTCTAACCCACTTTCCACATTTAATTATAATTGGGTGCTTTAACCTGCTTTCCACATTTAATTATAATTGGGTGCTCTAACCCACTTTCCATATTTAATTATAATTGGATGCTCTAATCCACTTTCCATATTTAATTATAATTGGGTGCCCTAATCCACTTTCCATATTTAATTATAATTGGGTGCCCTAATCCACTTTCCATATTTAATTATAATTGGGTGCCCTAAT